TCTTTGTTGTGGTGCACAGGCTACTCATTGTGGTGGCTTCTCTTGTTGCGGAGCACGGGCTCTAGGCGTGCGGGCTTCAGTAGTTGTGGCACTTAGGCTCAGTAAGTAGTTGTGGCACACGGGCTTAGTGGCTCAGCGGCATGTGGGGTCTTCCCGGACCAGGGCTTGAACCCGTGCCCCTGCATTGGCAGGCAGATTCTTAACCACTGCACCACCAGGGAAGTCCCCCTCCTGCTTTTTTTAAAAATTTATTTATTTGTTTATTTTTGGCTGCACTGGGTCTTCGTTGCTGCGTGGGCTTTCTCTAGTTGTGGCGAGCGGGGGCTACTCTTCGTTGCGGCGCATGGGCTTCTCATTGTGGTGGCTTCTCTTGTTGAGGAGCACAGGCTCCAGGCACGTGGGCTTCAGTAGTTGTGGCACGTGGGCTCAGTAGTTGTGGCTCGTGGGCTCTAGGGCGCAGGCTCAGTAGCTGTGGCGCACGGGCTTAGTTGCTCCGTGGCATGTGGGATCTTCCCAGACCACAGCTCGAACCCGTGTCCCCTGGGTTAGCAGGCAGGTTCTTAACCACTGTGCCACCAGGGAAGTCCCCTCCTGCTTATTTACAACTCAATTATTCCCACAGCAGTTGAAAACAAGGACTGTCCATTAGCTACAGGAAACATTCCTCTCCCTATCATTTGAGTGCCCCCTACATACTCTATTATTTGAAGGCACAGAAAATAGGTCATCCCACACTAGATCTAAGAATCTTTTCAGGGACTTCCCTGGTGGTGCAGTGGTTAAGATTACACCTTCCAAGGCAGGGGACATGGGGCCGGGAAGATCCAACATGCAGCGAAGCAACTAAGCCCGTGCACCACAACTACTGAGTCCACGTGCCACAACAACTGAAGCCTGTGCGCCTAGAGCCCGTGCTCCACAACAAGAGAAGCTACCACAATGAGAAGCCCGCGCACCACAACGAAGACTGGCATCCGCTCACCGCAACTAGAGAAAGCCCACGTGCAGCAACGAAGACCCAACGCAGCCAAAAAAAAAAAAAAAAAAAGAATCTTTGCAATACTCTCCTTATGGGTGCCCCATGGGTGCCTTCACCCCTCCCAGTGATGTACTTCTTGTGACCAGTCCTCAAAACCCATGCTTCCAGAGGGATACAAGGGTACTTGGGAAGGAGTAAAAAGAGGGAGAGGGAAAGGGGTTTAGGGGCAGCAGAAGAGAAAAGATTTGCAGAGAGAAGCTGAGGAATCTTCCTGCATGATTCATTTGGCCAGGTAAAAAGCATTCTGTATCTATGCAGAAAGCAGATAAGCTACAACATGAGGAACAGGGCTAAATTCCATGGAGTTCCTTGAGATGATCCAAACAAAATAGAACCCCCAAACACCTAGAAATCAAGACAATGAAGGAAGTTTAGGCATTCCCTTCCCTGAAAAGAAAACCTGTTGAAAAGTTCCAAAAGAAAATGCAAGAGGGAGCCTAATTCTGCATGTACACTTCATTTCTTTGGTTATTTCCCCACCTTTTCCTCAGGTTTATAAGTTCTCACCTTGGTCAGCTGACTATGCAATGATGACTTCTGGGCAGCTATATGAGGAAACCAAGTCTTTAACATTCCTTCTACCTGTAGCAGGGTTCCTAGATAACGCTCTCTGTGAGGAGAAAAAAAAAAGCCATTAGGTGTGAAAAAAGCAACAGGACAGGACTGGAGATAGCTCCTTTTTTATGAAGTACTGAGGAAAGAGCTCTTTTATGAAGTACTGAGGAAAGAATCAAGGGGACTTACCCCATCTGTGGCTTCTGCAAAACACCTACTATACGCTGGATCCTGTCCATTGCCACGCTCTGCTGGAAACTGCTCAATCCTGGGGTCAGGAAAGAGAAAGATCAAGGATTGAGATTCAAGAATTTAATCAGGTAAAGGAAAGACAGAAGGGGTTAAAATGGATTCACCTAAAGAAATTGTCACAGGAGAAAAAGCTAATCATCCAGGCCCCAAACAAAGACTTAAGAGAAATACACATTCAAAACATATTTTGAGAGACAGAGAGATGAATGTAGCTCAAATGAATGCAAGTAATCAGATAACTACCTCTCTCAAATCGACCCATCTTCAGTCCATTCAGTAGGTCTGTGAGAGGGGGTATGAATCCTCGGAGCTCTTTACACTGTAGAAAAACAGGACAAAGGGTATGAGAAGACCAAGAACTGCCCACACCAGTACTTATTCTTCCATCTCCCAATCTGAGAGCCAATACTATCCTCATGGGGTCCTTACCAACCAACTGGGTGCTAAGCCACTTGGTCGTATCTCCTTTCCCCAGCTTTCTCTTACCTTCTGAGCAAAGAGCAGGTCTCCTTCTGTGGTACAACCCTGGATGTTTAGACTGGTCTCCAATTCACCACCTCTTGATCTTTTGACCCCAGATCCTGACATAGAAGAAGCCAAGCCCCGCTGTTCCGAGTGAGATGCTGTAGGTTGCTTACTGGAAACCTTGGGTCGTTGCCTGCAGCGGATAGGACCAGGGCTGGGCCGAGAACCTCCCCTCTGACCAACAGTGTCTAGCCTGGGGCCATGGGCCCACTTGTCCTCCCTCTCACTATCGGAGGGGAAGCCAGAGTCACTGTTCACTGGGGAGGTGGAAAAAGAGGAATAAAGAGAGTAGGAAGAAACGCTAGATGGAGAATCCATGGGTTTAGAAGCAGGGGCTGGAGAGCAGCTCCCGGAGTACCCAAACATCGGGACCTGCAACTGAAGAGCAAAGCAAGGGAGTTTGAAACCAGAATCTGAGTATTAGGAAATGGACTGGGAGACTAGGGTGTACTGTCTGCGATCATAATATCTCCTCCCTCCCTCCCCAATATTACCTGTCTCAGGGACAATTTAAAAAGTCATCTTCCCCGCCTCCCCTCCTCCATTAAGAACCTGGATTGCCTCTCTGGCCTCCGCAGAGCAGCTCTTAGCCTGACACAGACTCTTTTCCCTCAGTTCAGAGTAAATATAATGATTTGACACCTTTCCCCGGTTCGCCTCTTCTGGTCTCATCCTGACCCCGCAGTGAGCCTCTCTACCTGAGATCACGCCACCGGCAAGCCGGAAATCTGCGGCACCCGAACCCACCTAGGGACCCGGCAGCAATCTCCCTCCTCTTGCCAATCTTTCTGATCAGGATCCCTGCGCCGGACCATCTCCAGTCGCGCCTGCCACGTGATGCGATCCCTCTCAATACCAATATCCGCGTTGAGTGCCTAAGCCCACTCCCACCGGGTCTGATCCTCCTGCGCGGATCGCTCCCTGACCTGAGTCTCCTCACCTGTGTCGGTCGGCTCAGCCCAGGCTGTCTCCAGCTCCTACTCCGACTGTCGGGTCAGGGCTACCCACCTCCGCCTCCCTCCCACTGGGTCCCGCCCCTTCCCCCGCCCAGACACGTGCAGCTCCGCACGTGCCTTCCCCCGGCGTACACAGACCTCGCACCCTCATTGGTTGTCTAGCCGGTGGCACGTGACTCTCGTTACTGAAGTTCACATTCCATTTGCTACAGCATACAGGGGCTCGGCCAATAAAGAGGCAGTCAGGTGACGATTGGTTGGAAGGTAAGCATTCCGTGCTCCGCCCCTACATGCGGCTAGCGAGGAGGACCCGGTGATGAGAGAAGGAGGAGGATGGAAAAAGAGTGGAAAAGAAGGGAGGGGAGGAAAAGGGCGGAGCCTGTGGCTTTAAATAGGATGGTGGTGTGCCGGAGCCGCGCAGCTGGAGTGTGCAGACTGGTTGTGTGACCTAAGGAGTGAGCCTTGAGATGTGGGACTCTCGGCTCTTCCTTGGGAACCGACCCCTCTTTCAGCGCCTCCGCTCACGAGTGCAGCACGTGGAAACGATAAGCGACTTGCGTCTGCAACGTGTGTGAGACAATGGATGTGTGCCACTATGTATACTCTCCCCCTCTCGGCGGCCCAGCTCTCGTGACTTCCCGGTCTCTGTTTCACCCTCCCCTCCTCCTCCTTCTCCTACAAGTTGGGTGCCTCCTGCCCTGCTGGGTGAGGAGGGTGGGGATTGCTGCCGAGAACACCGCGTCCTCTCCCCGGCTCCCGCTGGGGCGGCTCCACCAGCCCTTTCCTTATGTAACCCGCCACGCACGTTACCAGCTCAGATGCCAGCCCGCCACGACTCCAGAGGTCAAAGCCCCGCTGGGTTGCTCCTGACTTTTCTACCCCGGTTCCCCGGGCCCTGCGCCCTTAGTTCTGTGTTTCTTAGCACAAGAAAAGGAGAGTGGGTAGGTCTCTGATCTCCTAGATTATGTACTTGTCCAGATTCAGTTTCTTCATTTGTCCTCTGGAGAAGATTTGAAGGACGGAGGGTGGCAAGTCCGGAGTTTACTATTCACTGGCCCTTGCAGTGCTTTGTTTTGTTTTGTTTGTTTTCTTTTGCTGTGCCAGGAGGCTTGCGGGATCTCAGTTCCCCAACGAGTAATTGAATCCGGGTGACCGCAGCGAAAGCCCGGAGTGCTAACCACTAAGCCACCGGGGAACTCCCCCTTGCAGTATTGAGAGCACAGTGGGGAGAAGGGGACAGGACCCAGGGACTGTGGGCTGATTGAAGCTGTAACACCGAAGAGGCCGCAAGGGGGCAGCCCAGTTCTTTTTAGGGTCGAAGGATAAAAGGAAAAAAAAAATTTTTCTTTTTAAAGTTTGTCCCTGGGCTTCCCTGGTGCAGTGGTTAAGAATCCAACTGCCGATGCAGGGGACACAGGTTCGAGGCCTGGTCGAGGAAGATCCCACGTGCTGCGGAGCAACTAAGCCCATGTGCTACAACTATTGAGCCTGCACTCTAGAGCCCGCAAGCCACAACTACTGAAGCCCACGCGTCTAAAGCCCGTGCACCACAACAAGAGAAGCCACCGCTATGAGAAGCCCGCGCACCGCAACCAAGAATAGCACCCGCTCGCCGCAACTAGAGAAAGCCTGCAGCAACAAAGACCCAAAGCAGCCAAAAATAAATAAATAAATTTATAAAAAGAAAAAAACAGTCTGTCCTCGAATGCCTTAATTACTAACTGAAAAGGTACATAGTTAGGGGCTGGAGGGGGGAGATAAGGGAGGGAGGGTGTGAATTTTAAAAATCTATTCTAAGTAGTTTTTGATATTTTACGTATGTTTAACAATGTGCTTATTTTATAAAAAGGGTTCCACTTCAACTTTCTTTCTCCAGATATACTGTCTCAACACCATATATGATAAAGCAAAACAGTAGAATTAGAGGGAATTATAGGCTGTGAATAAACCTGTTGTTTGTGGGTGTTTTTCTCCATTCTTCCCAAAATTTCAGGGTTTATTTTCTCACAGCCCTAATAATTCCCTCTAACTCTACTGTCGCCTAACTCCCTTTCTAATCTACCCTTCACACACCTATATCCTGGTGCTCTCTTCAGTGTTGCAGCTTTAGAACTGACCCTCATAAAGGAGTAGAGAGTAACCAGATTACTTCATTTATTTATTTAATCTTCCACTTTCCTCTTCCCAAATCCCCATCCAATGAGTCGTAGCAGCCTTCCCTCTCCTAAAAAACAAAAAAAAAACAAAAAAAAAACGAAGAAAGGGAAAAACAAAAAAACAGGGTCAGGGGACTCAGGAAGCCCCTCCCACCTCTATGGAAACCCCCCAGATTTCTTATTTTGAGCTAGATTTCCTCATGACATCCACTACATGTGTCCCCCTCCCCTCCTCACTCCTTCCTTCTGCTAAACCCCTTCATGCCCATAGTTATTTAGATTACCAACTTAAATTCCTTCCCTATAATACAGGTTTCTCTTCCTTCCCCCTTTCCACCATCTCTCCCCTACATTAGGGAACCACCCCCACTTCTGCCTCTTGACTCTGCCAGGTTGTAGGGCCCCTCCCATTTTGCCATCTGGCACCTGAAGAGCCTTAAACCAGGCCAGGCTGGAACCAGCTTTGATTCCTCGAGGCAGACTGGAAACCTGAGGAAGTTTCTTCTCCATTCCACCTGCTTCTGCTCTAGGAGGTCCTGAAATCCTCCCAGTTCAGAAAGAGTAATGACTCTTATGACAAAGGCCTTTGCCTCAACATCTCCTAAACCTCCTTAAAGTTAGATAAGATTTTTCTATATGTGATCCCTCTTTAAGCAGCTCAGACAGAATTGACCAGGCTGGAAACACTAGCCAGAGATACTGGTAAAATTGCTTCACAGACTCCCCCAAGGCCAGTGGCTGCACTCTCACCTTCTACGTGAAATACATCCCCCCCTGAACGAGGGCCCAGGACAGGAGGAGTGCACCAGGACTCTGCAGACTGGATACAGCATTGTTCAGATCTGGACTCTGCTAAAATACAGACATCCCCTCATAGTAGGCTAGTGTCACCCTTCCTACTGCCCACCTCCCACTCTGGAAGGATAACCATCTCTTTACACCAATCTCTGTCTTCTTTACTCTGAGCTTAGAGAAAGATCCAGCCCTCCTCCCCATCACTATAAGAAGTCCTTTCCTCTGTGCCTTTCAGCCATTCCTGACCATACCAGGGAGACCTGACTCAATTCAATGAGATGTTTTTTGTTTTGTTTTTTAAGCTATGTGCATGACACTATACTAGTCACTGTGCTAGGTGCCATAGGGGGGACATAAATATAATTAAGACAGTGGTTCTGTCCTCACAGAGTTTACAATCTAAAGAGAGCCTACTATACACTTTAAAATATTTATCTGTCCTTGTCAAGCATCAGCTTTCCATTTCTACTAATTCTTCCCATCTGTGTTCAACTATATTCAGACTGCACTTTGATCCTGTTGCCCTTTCTAGCTGTTGCTTCTCTTTTTGCATTACCAGATTTCTCAGATGGTTGGTCTATCCTCTCCCTCCACTTCCTCACAATGTATTCCCGCTCTAACACCACAAAATCTAGCTTTTGCTACATCCACTCAATTAAAACTACTTTCTCTCTGATTATCAATCACCTCTTTCTCCTTGGCCTCTTGGTAGCTTTTGATTGATTGTATTAAGCTTTCTCTTCTAGACTTTAAAATACAAATTTGGCTATCTGCCTACCTCTCCAATCAGCTCGTCTCTATTTCCTTTGTTGACTCCTCTTCTACTAACTACCGGCACAGTCATTGGCCTTTTGGTCTTCTGTGTGTACTGGCTCTAATGAGCTCTACTTTTGTGACTGTGACTTGGCACTTAGAACTGTAGCACTGACTTAATTCAGCTACCTTTACGACACCCTCATAGGGCTGTCATTATAAATTCAGCTTGGCCAATACCAAATTTATAACTTCACTCCTAAATCATTCTAATCTCCCACAGTTCCCATTTTGGTCAACCGTTTTCCCAGATATCCATGTTTAAAACTTTTAAGTTATTTTAACTCTCTCCTCATTTATTGCCCATATGAAATTATCACTGGAGCAAGGCATTTTCTTCAAAATGTTTCTTACTTTTCTCCTCTCCATTCAAAATGCCACTTCCCTAGTCCAGACCTTTAATGGATTGTTTCTGGAATGATGCAAATCTCATGAGTCTCTCTCCACTCCACTGCATCCTTCATACAACCAGATAAATCATTTTTCAAAAATACCACTTTCATTGTGTGTTTACCACACTGAAGAACTTACTAGGCTCCCTATTGCTTATAAGTCTGAACCTTCCCTGATACTTCAGACTCTGTAATTTGGCCCTATCTTCCCATATGTGAGATTATCAAGCAAATATTTGGAGCATTGTAAATTTTATTTCTTAATTTCCCACTGTTCCTTTCCATATACCCTCTCCTTCAGTCATACTCCATCCACTAAACATACCCTGCTTGTTCTATCCCCCTTGTCTATGCAGCTCTTTCATTCTTGGAATAACTATTCTTCCCCCTATTTGCTTTCATTCTTTCATAACTTCCTGCCAACCAAAAGCTCACCTATTTTTCAAAGTGTATTTCAAGCATAATTACCTCCTAAAAGTCTTCCAGACAACTTCAGCCTGTGCTAGTCTCTCTCCTTCCACAGCCTAAAGCACTTGTTTGTCATATGCTGTCAAATGTATATGCAATTTAACATTGTTACAGATCTTTTCATTTTGTTTTAAATGTTTCATAAGTGTGAACTTGAGTTTTATGAATACTTTGAGGACAATAACAACATCACAGATTTCTTTTTCATCATCATCAGCAGCAGCAGCTCTAGGCATAGGTTACTTACACATTAAATACTATTCAACTGAAATTTAACTGCACCAAATCTTCCCAGTGTCCTGTATACGGGCTAGTATTAAATCTCAGTGAAAGAAATGATGGCCAAGCTGAGATGAACACCTGCATTGTAGTACTAGTTATTTGGCTCCCCCATCCACCAAAGCCTCCCTCTGCTGCACGTCACCAGCTCTGGGATCTATCCAGGGTAAGGGTTGTCTGTCTCCCTCCACCCCCCCCCACCCCCGCCTTATCCCCAATCCACTCACTGGTTCCATTGTCACTGGTTTCTCTGTTACAGGCTTCTGATGGTCTGCAGGGTCTGTTTCACGACTAATGGTAGTCTCTACTGCTTCCATTACCTCCTTATCCCACTTGTTCTGCCCTCAGTAGGAATCGGAAACACAGAGTTATCACTGCCTCCATCCAATAATCTCACAGATTTTCTATTCAGAGTTCTTTTCTCCTTCACCACCTCTTCTCCCCCCTTCCCATCCCCCAAGACTTAAACTCAGGGATCTTCCCTACTTCATGTTTGCATGGATTTTGTACCCATCCCATTCACCATTTCCCTTGTCTCAAGGATTTTTCCTCCCTTTCAGTGTCTTAGCAAACCTACTGCATTCTGGCTTCCTCCCCAGCTTTGGTTAACAAATTTGTTTTGGGCTCACTACCTAGTTTCACTTCACCTAACTAATTTTTATTCCTGTTCATCACTTACATTTCCACAATGACCAGTTTCTTTTTAACTGTTACCTATCTTGATCCTCCTAGAGGGTCATGTAGATATCACTCACCAGCCTGTTCTCTGACTCAAACATAGAGTAATCAACAGTGAAGTTTGCACCAAAGTCATCTGGGGAGGAGAAAAAAAATTAGTAGTAACAAAGGTAGCACTAGATCTGGAAATGAGAAGAGGAAGAAACTGTTCAGAATACTTCAATTTGCTCAAGTTGTAAAATTTACTGGTATAATTCTAATGAACTTTTGATGTTGAAATGTTGGTGAATGTGTATGCATTTATATTTTCAATCTGGTGTCTAAAATCATGTACAAATTTGAAAATTTTCTAATTTCTAAAGGCTTGAAAATCACTAGTTTGAGACATAACATCATGAGCTTGATAGTCTTTGCTCATAGCCACATTTCTCTCTGACCTAGTTATACCATTGTAAAGGAAACGTCAAAGTGTCAGAACTGAGCATCTCCCAAACCTCTCTCCATCCTGCGAAGGGTCAGAACCTTATACATACTCACCATAGTTGGGGGTGACTGTGTAATAATAGACCACCTGATAATAGTCATCCTCTTCCAGTCCTTCTTCATCCTCATATTCTTGTCCTAGGGGGACAAGGACTAGAGGTCAGGGGGCATCTGGAACTCCTTAGCAATAGAAGGACACCTGACGTTGACCTCAGCTCTATCAGTTTCCTTTCCTTCTGCTTCCACTCTACTATCTCCCTGCCTCTGTACCTCTAAACCTTTCTCAGTCTTCTGGGCTCCATAACTCTGATGAGACCTGTTACACTGTGCCCTTTCAATCCGGGAACTCCCAGAAGAGAAAACGGGTCCCTTCACACACTGTAACCCAAACTAAGCCTTAAAAAGGTAGGAAGCAGAGAGACACCAGAAATTAAGACCTCCAAATCCACTCCTCAGTATGCTCTAGACCTACTGTATTTGTGAGAGATGTTCTCTTATCAGTGTCTCCCACAACTAACACACACACAGCCTCTTGGACTTGGGCTTTAGTTCCAGTTTCAATGCTAACTGGTAGAATATCTCTGAACAAGCCAGTTAACATCTGCTTTCTTAAAATGAGTCAGCTGGACTAAATCATCCATCTGCATTAGTTTTTCTTCCTTTCCAGGATTAAAAATATGTGGCTTGGAATTGACTGGGTCAGGAATTCTAGGCCTCCTGCTAAATATTTCCCTAAGCTCCTTGAATGCTCTCTCTTAACCCCAAGCAATGACACAGAGTCTGGAGGAAAAGGAAACAATGAGAGCACCTGGCAGACTGGGAACAAAGGAGGGAAGGAGCCAAGCTACTTTTGGGACCTTGTCCCTGAAGGCAGACAGTACTCACTATCCTAAAAGCCACCCCTTCTGTGTCTTTACTAATACAAAGTTTTTCTCCAACTCGCTGGGAAAGAAGATACCCTGGCTTCCCTTGCTAGTTTCAGACTGCCCCACCTTCAAAGAGTCCACCTCTCTCCACTCTCACTTTAGTCCTTCTCATCTTGTTCAACTCTGTGGTTATGGCGAGCTGAGTTCACTCTTGTTAGGACCTCCCCATGGCTGGGGCTCCATCCCCATCAGCTGTCTCTTCTTTGACAGGACTATGCTCTCCTTCCCTTTACCTGGCCCTAATTTCCAGGTTCCCCCTCTGCCCCTGAAATCTAACACAGTTGAGAAAGTGTTATCACTCCTTATTGAACTGCACCTCCCGCCCTCTCCTCATTTTCTTTTCTCCCACCCCATTTATGGTAGAAGACCTGGCTCAAAAGCTCAGGGAGAGACGTGTACTTACCCAGGATGAGTGGCACAGCAAGGATGGCTACAAAGAGGACATCCATTCTGGATTCTGCACTAGTGCCTTGAAAGTAAAAAAGGAAATTACAGCGTTTCCCACCAAACTTACCCCGCCTTCTGCCCTCCTCCAAAGCAGGGAAGGAGCTGCAGCAATCCTTCTCCCAGGGGGGGAATTCCCCGCCCACTTGCTTACTGACTGGGCCATCAGTTACTACCAGTGCGGTCCTCAGCCACAGCTGCCCAGATCAAGAGAGGCAAAGTGAACTTTGATGGAAGCATGTTCATTGAGACCCTCTGGCTCTAGACTAGATCCGTTCAGGCCTCCTGCTGCCACTTCCAGAAAAACAAAACAAACAAACCAACCCACAAAAACCCCCCCCAAAACCCAAACCAAACAACAACAAAAACCCCAGCCTACCAAGGAGTTTCCCCTCTCACCTACTTTCCTTCCTTGTTCCCAGTCCTCACAAAAAGCTCACACTCCCTCTCACTGTCCCTAACTTACTATCACTATCCAGAGCTGCCCTTCTCTCTGAGGCTTCATCACAATCTCTTTCTTCACGGTCAAAATATTCTTAGGAAGGGATGAGCATTTTTTCTAGACTGAAAATAGTCTCCCTTCTCTGCGTGTCTCAGACTACGAAGTATGGGAACAATATCAACATCATTGTCTGACTCTCCAAGCACCTGCTGGATTGCTTCTGATTTCAAAAAAAAAAAAAACAGCTTTCAGTCAAGACTAGTTACTTCCTCTCTGCTAAGTACTGATCTCACCTCACTTCTTTCTCAACTTTCTGCACACAGTATGGGAAAAGGGAGGAAGCAAGTAGTCTCTTTTCCTGCTGTATACGCCACACCCCTTCTCCCACTTTCAGTCACTTGGTATGTTCCCTTCATTCTAGCCTACAGGGGTGGAGTTCATCTTATCCTTCTCTCTGCTTTTATATTTCCCATTTTCATTCAATTCAATTTAGAAACATCAAACATAATGTATGTGCTAGGCACAGTGTGCTAGGCCTAGTCTGATAGGCAATTCAGGGTTCAGGGGCAAGGGAATAAGAAAAGAATGCAGGTATTTTTTTTAAGGGAGTTAATAAACATCTATTCAACATCTACTATGAGTAGTCTACGCAAGTCTCTGTGGAACTACCAATGAACGAGATAGGTTTGATTCCCGTTCTTAAGTCAGCAAATGCTGTGGCAACAGCTCAAAGGAGAGATGAGAAGAGTTGTCTTATCCCTATCTCTTCTGGATTGCTCTGCTCAGAAGCAAGACAATAGAGTCTTGAGCACTGGCCAGGATGTTCCCACCCTCTTAACCTTATTGGGGGAGGATTTGCATGGTGACTTCTCACGTACATCTATATAATCTATTCCTTCAGCTCCTTTCCAGAATTTCCTGGAAAAAAATGGAAAACTCTTATGTGGATGTACATCTATACATTGCCATAAATCATTTCCAGGAAGGAAAGTAAGCCTGGTTCTCTCTGAAGAATTTCTATAGTTTTTTTGGGTACTTTGATTACTCTCTCAAGAAAAATATTCCAGTTTCCCTCACTTTCCCATCCTGGTACTCTTTTTCCCAAACATCCTCCCTAAGGACTAACCCCACCTGCATCCAAATGAGGATACAATACCCTCTTCTCATACTTTATACTTCTCATACTTTATACTTCTCATACTTTATACTTCTCATACTTTATACCTTCTCATACTTTAACTTCTCATACTTTAACATACTTCTCATACTTTATACCCTCTTCTCATACTTCTCATACTTTAACTTTCTTTTGCTCTAATATGCATCCTCTGCGCCCAGCCTGAGGAAAAGACACCACTGAGGTTCATTTTCAGAAAATAAATGGAGGAAGTATGACATAAAAGGAACTGAGTAACTTGGCGGGCTAGTGGTGGTGGGGTGTCATTTTCCAACTCCATAGCTCGAATTGCTTTTTACAAACAACTCTAACTCCCGATTTTAACTCAAAATCCACTCTAACCTTCCTAACATTGCTCTCCGGGCTCCTTTTACTTCCCTCTGATTCTCTTGTCATTACGGATGAAGGCTTCATTAGCGATACACTGTATTGCATGCTTCCTATACTAGCCTGTTCAAAGAGCTCCTACTTTTAAGTGTAACCTTCATCTCTTAGGCAGTAGCTCTAGCTCATTTCCTCTCATTCAAGTAAGAACAATACCCGTCCCTATCTCCCTGCACCCTCTATCCTGTGCTTTCTTTGTATTTGTCCTTTAGGTTCCAACAGGATCTTCCCCCCTCTGCAGCTCTTCAAGAAGCGTAGGATTGCTACCACCCTGCCCCATAAAATACCGAAAGGGAACAGCGACCAAAGTCGAACCGAACCAGGAAACTGAGCTCGGGCCCAGCCCACTGGTTTAACAGTTTGGAGCCACTCCCAGGGCCGAGGTCCAGGAGGAGGGCAGGACTACAACTCCCAGCACGCCGTGAAGCCACGCCCCCTCCGCAGCTCCGCCCCCGCGAGTTCTCCATTGGCCTCCAGGGGGTGGGGATTAGATGGGAGGTGGCCATGGGGACGCGGCAGGGGTTTGTCCCCTCCTCGGCCTCCGTAGAGGAAGTCGCGCCGACCTGTATCTGGGGTTTCGGTGTCCCCGCCTTCCAGGGGGTCCGGGGTGACATTGCACCGCGCCCCTCACGGGGTCGCGTCGCCACCCCACGCGGACTCCCTGGCTGGCGTGCTTCATCCCTTCGCCTCTCTTGGCCGGGCCCCCACCTCGCCCCCAGCTGCCCAGCCATGGGGGCCGCAGTGTTTTTCGGATGCACTTTCGTCGCTTTCGGCCCGGCCTTTGCGCTTTTCTTGATCACTGTGGCAGGAGACCCGCTTCGCGTCATCATCTTGGTCGCCGGGTGAGTTAAGGGGTTGGGGAGACGCGGGAGGACGCCGAAGAGAGAGATCCGAAAGGGGCTGGAGGAACTGGGGCGAGCCTGGGAGCCTGAGAGGGGGAGACAAGTCGGAGGTGAAGATTGGAGAGGATCGAGTCAGGGATCTGGGTGATTCGCCCTTTCCTGTAGTTGGTTTCCGCCTTCCAGAGATCGCACAGATTCCTCCTATACTCCTCCTGCGACGTCCGAGGAGGCCCAAGGCGAAGACTTGGAAGGGGGCTGTGCTGACCTCGGCCGGCCTTAAGGGAGTATCCAGGAATGGATACCTCGCCCTCCTGTCCTCCTACACTCTGGCTCTCATCACTCTGAAGACTCTTTAATCAGATTTCTTACCCTTTCCCTGCGTTCAGATCCCTACAGACTCCCTTGGTGGAGACACCTATCCTATCTCCTCCCTGTCTCCCTGGACAATCCGGAAGTCTAACTTCCACTTTTTATTCTGTAGCCTTGGTTGGTTCCCCTCTTTGATTTCCCTGGTTGCCCCCTACGCTTGCTTGTCTGATTGCCTTTGTCTTTCCTCAGGGCATTTTTCTGGCTGGTCTCCCTGCTCTTGGCCTCTGTGGTCTGGTTCATCTTGGTCCATGTGACCGACCGGTCGGATGCCCGACTCCAGTATGGCCTCCTGATTTTTGGTGCTGCAGTCTCTGTCCTTCTACAGGAGGTGTTCCGCTTTGCCTACTACAAGCTGCTTAAGTAAGGAGTTGGGGTGGTCTGGAGGGGAGAAGGGCAGAAGACTGAACTATAAGTGGGGCAGCCCTGGGTGGTGGTTTGAACGAGGAGGTACTAAGGGAAGATATTAGAGGGGAAGGCGATTCCTGCCCTCCCTCATGTTTTCCCTATCCCACCCACCCCACCCCAGGAAGGCAGATGAGGGGTTAGCATCGCTGAGTGAGGACGGAAGATCACCCATCTCCATCCGCCAGATGGCCTATGGTGAGCCAAGGGAGAGGGACTGGAGGAGGGAGTTGGACACTCCTCTCTCCCAGGGAAGCCTCTAAACATCCACATGTCCTAAGCGGCTTCTTGTTTTTCTTCATACCTGACTTCCAAGGAGAGGTGGTCTGGAGGGAGAGTAGGTGTGGGGGAACTGTGACTGGGAATGGGGAGGGATCACTGGTAATAAGGCTATAGTGTTCTTTGATATTGATGAAGCCCTCCCTCCCCCCCCCCCTTCTCATACTTTAACTTCTCATACTTTAACATACTTCTCATACTTTATACCCTCTTCTCATACTTCTCATACTTTAACTTTCTTTTGCTCTAATATGCATCCTCTGCGCCCAGCCTGAGGAAAAGACACCACTGAGGTTCATTTTCAGAAAATAAATGGAGGAAGTATGACATAAAAGGAACTGAGTAACTTGGCGGGCTAGTGGTGGTGGGGTGTCATTTTCCAACTCCATAGCTCGAATTGCTTTTTACAAACAACTCTAACTCCCGATTTTAACTCAAAATCCACTCTAACCTTCCTAACATTGCTCTCCGGGCTCCTTTTACTTCCCTCTGATTCTCTTGTCATTACGGATGAAGGCTTCATTAGCGATACACTGTATTGCATGCTTCCTATACTAGCCTGTTCAAAGAGCTCCTACTTTTAAGTGTAACCTTCATCTCTTAGGCAGTAGCTCTAGCTCATTTCCTCTCATTCAAGTAAGAACAATACCCGTCCCTATCTCCCTGCACCCTCTATCCTGTGCTTTCTTTGTATTTGTCCTTTAGGTTCCAACAGGATCTTCCCCCCTCTGCAGCTCTTCAAGAAGCGTAGGATTGCTACCACCCTGCCCCATAAAATACCGAAAGGGAACAGCGACCAAAGTCGAACCGAACCAGGAAACTGAGCTCGGGCCCAGCCCACTGGTTTAACAGTTTGGAGCCACTCCCAGGGCCGAGGTCCAGGAGGAGGGCAGGACTACAACTCCCAGCACGCCGTGAAGCCACGCCCCCACCGCAGCTCCGCCCCCGCGAGTTCTCCATTGGCCTCCAGGGGGTGGGGATTAGATGGGAGGTGGCCATGGGGACGCGGCAGGGGTTTGTCCCCTCCTCGGCCTCCGTAGAGGAAGTCGCGCCGACCTGTATCTGGGGTTTCGGTGTCCCCGCCTTCCAGGGGGTCCGGGGTGACATTGCACCGCGCCCCTCACGGGGTCGCGTCGCCACCCCACGCGGACTCCCTGGCTGGCGTGCTTCATCCCTTCGCCTCTCTTGGCCGGGCCCCCACCTCGCCCCCAGCTGCCCAGCCATGGGGGCCGCAGTGTTTTTCGGATGCACTTTCGTCGCTTTCGGCCCGGCCTTTGCGCTTTTCTTGATCACTGTGGCAGGAGACCCGCTTCGCGTCATCATCTTGGTCGCCGGGTGAGTTAAGGGGTTGGGGAGACGCGGGAGGACGCCGAAGAGAGAGATCCGAAAGGGGCTGGAGGAACTGGGGCGAGCCTGGGAGCCTGAGAGGGGGAGACAAGTCGGAGGTGAAGATTGGAGAGGATCGAGTCAGGGATCTGGGTGATTCGCCCTTTCCTGTAGTTGGTTTCCGCCTTCCAGAGATCGCACAGATTCCTCCTATACTCCTCCTGCGACGTCCGAGGAGGCCCAAGGCGAAGACTTGGAAGGGGGCTGTGCTGACCTCGGCCGGCCTTAAGGGAGTATCCAGGAATGGATACCTCGCCCTCCTGTCCTCCTACACTCTGGCTCTCATCACTCTGAAGACTCTTTAATCAGATTTCTTACCCTTTCCCTGCGTTCAGATCCCTACAGACTCCCTTGGTGGAGACACCTATCCTATCTCCTCCCTGTCTCCCTGGACAATCCGGAAGTCTAACTTCCACTTTTTATTCTGTAGCCTTGGTTGGTTCCCCTCTTTGATTTCCCTGGTTGCCCCCTACGCTTGCTTGTCTGATTGCCTTTGTCTTTCCTCAGGGCATTTTTCTGGCTGGTCTCCCTGCTCTTGGCCTCTGTGGTCTGGTTCATCTTGGTCCATGTGACCGACCGGTCGGATGCCCGACTCCAGTATGGCCTCCTGATTTTTGGTGCTGCAGTCTCTGTCCTTCTACAGGAGGTGTTCCGCTTTGCCTACTACAAGCTGCTTAAGTAAGGAGTTGGGGTGGTCTGGAGGGGAGAAGGGCAGAAGACTGAACTATAAGTGGGGCAGCCCTGGGTGGTGGTTTGAACGAGGAGGTACTAAGGGAAGATATTAGAGGGGAAGGCGATTCCTGCCCTCCCTCATGTTTTCCCTATCCCACCCACCCCACCCCAGGAAGGCAGATGAGGGGTTAGCATCGCTGAGTGAGGACGGAAGATCACCCATCTCCATCCGCCAGATGGCCTATGGTGAGCCAAGGGAGAGGGACTGGAGGAGGGAGTTGGACACTCCTCTCTCCCAGGGAAGCCTCTAAACATCCACATGTCCTAAGCGGCTTCTTGTTTTTCTTCATACCTGACTTCCAAGGAGAGGTGGTCTGGAGGGAGAGTAGGTGTGGGGGAACTGTGACTGGGAATGGGGAGGGATCACTGGTAATAAGGCTATAGTGTTCTTTGATATTGATGAAGCCCTCCCTCCCCCCCCCCCCCCCCCCAGTTTCTGGTCTTTCCTTCGGTATCATCAGTGGTGTCTTCTCTGTTATCAATATCTTGGCCGATGCTCTTGGGCCAGGTGTGGTTGGGATCCATGGAGACTCACCCTATTACTTCTTGACTTCAGGTAAGGTCCACTTTCTTTCTTGCCTCCATGCCCCATTCATCCCTGACCCTGATTTGATTTATTGGCCTTCCCTGGGAGACTTCTTTGGCTCAACATCTCAGGAGGCTGGGAGAAGATGAGGGATGTATCTCATCCCCATCTCCCTCCCTGCAGCCTTTCTGACAGCAGCCATTATCCTGCTCCATACCTTTTGGGGAGTTGTGTTCTTTGATGCCTGTGAGAGGAGACGGTACTGGGCTTTGGGCCTGGTGGTTGGGAGTCACCTACTGACATCGGGACTGGTGAGTTGGGGACAGGGGCCTGAGTTAGAGAGAAAAGAACTTAATGGTGAGTGGGATGGAGGGGAAATATATTCTCACTTCTTAACATTTAAAAACTTACGTTGGGAGGAGGCAGAAAGGTGAGTCTTTAGACGTCTCTCACCTCAGCATCAATTGTATAACCTGCTCTGGGGATGCTCTAGGGAGGAGTTTGAATGGATTAGTCAAACTAATGCAGATGGCCTGAGGTGAGCAGGAGTGGCAGAAACCTCTGAGGGGGCTGAAAAATCACAAATGCTCTTAACCGTGATGATATCGGTGTTCTGAAGGACTGGGAGATCCGAGTGAGATATCTGGGGGAGATTTGGGTCAAAGGCACAAAGAGAATATGGGGATTAGAGGAAGAATCTAACCTCCTTTCTACTCTTTCCCCCATCCCCAGACATTCCTGAACCCCTGGTACGAGGCCAGCCTGCTGCCCATCTATGCAGTCACTGTTTCCATGGGGCTCTGGGCCTTCATCACAGCTGGAGGGTCCTTCCGAAGTATCCAGCGCAGCCTCTCGTGTAAGGACTGACTACCTGGACTGATCGCCTGACAAATCCCACCTGCCTGCCCACTGCCCGTGACTGAGCCCAGCCCTAGCCCGGGTCCATTGCCCACCATTCTCTGTCTCCTCGTCGGTCTATTCCACCACCTTCAGGGTTTTGCTTTGTCCACTCATGACCTTTAGTCTCTAGGCTTTACCAGGAGCAGTCTGGGTTCAGCCAGTCAGTGACTGGTGGGTTTGAATCTGCACTTATCCCCACCATCTGGGGACCCCCCCCCCTTGTTGTCCAGGACTCCCCATGTGTCAGTGCTCTGCTCTCACCCTGCCCAAGACTCACCCCCATTCCCCTCTGCAGGCCGACGGCAGGAGGACAGTCGGGTGATGGTGTATTCTGCCCTGCGCATCCCACCCGAGGACTGAGGGAACCTTGGGCGGGACCCCTGGGCCTGGGGTGCCCTCCTGATCTCCTCGCCCTGTATTTCTCCATCTCCTGTTCTGGACAGTGCAGGTTGCCAAGAAAAGGGACCTAGTTTAGCCATTGCTGTGGAGATGAAGTCAATTGGAGGTTCAAGGGTAGGCGAGCTCTGAGTTTCCCAGTACCCCCTCCCCAGACTGGATATCTTAAGTCTTTTTCTCAGGTCTGAGGGGAACCATTTCTGGTGTGATAAAGACCCCCAAATTGCCTTTTTCTTTTGAAGCGGGAGGAGGGAGGAAGTATGTGTTAATTCTTCTCCTAACCTCCTTGGACTATATTTTCCCTCCTCAAATTGCTCCTTATGGCTGGGCTTATATCTATCCAGCTTTCCCCTTGGTCCCAGGCTTTGGGGGAAAGGAAGGAAGTGCATGTTTGGGAACTGGTATTACTGGAACTAATGTTTCAACCTCCTTGACCACCAGCATCCCTCCTCTCCCCAAGGTGAACTGGAGGGTGCTGCGGGGAGCTGGCCCACTCCAGAGCTGCAGTGCCACTGGGGGAGTCAGCCTACCGTGACATCGCAGGGAAGGAGGGCAGATTTTTTTCTAGTTTTTAATTGGGGGATGTGGGGGGGGGGGGGGAGGTTTTCTATAAACTGTATCATTTTCTGCTGAGGATGGCGTATCCCATCCTTTTAATCAAGGTGATTGTGATTTTGACCAATAAAAAGGACTTTATAATTGTGGGGGAACTTGGCTTTAAAAGGAGGGGATAACATGTTGATTGAGGTTTCTGCCCTCTCATGTCTCTTTTCCAACCTCCCTCCTAACCTGGCAACCTCTGGTTCCCTCCAAGCATAGCTTTGATACAAGGGCAGAAATCTGGGCTGGGGGTCTAACATGTCAGAAGCTCTGGGTTAAGCATTTTCCAGCAGTGGATCTCCCCTTCTCCAGGATTGGGGTGGAAGGAGTTACTCACCCATTCTTCCTTTTCCATACCCTTTGCCCACCTCTGCTATCTGAGACATTAAGGAATTCTCCCATTCTCAAGAGCCCCCAAAGTAAGGCCAGAGGCGGGGTCGGCAAATTTAATTTCCTAATATATGGAGGGAAATAAACATAGCAGCAGCAACCCTTTTTCCTAAGGGGAGATCTTGTACTATATCTCGGGACAGGGATACAAAGATGAGGGGGTGGGGGACTTTGGGGCACATCCCCAGCTTCCCCTACAACTAAACACAGTTCACCCTCTGCATTGTCAACATAGGGCTGTCCTTATCTACATGTTTTGAGAGGCTGAAGGTTCTGTTCTTCCTTGAATGAGAGCCTGTCCATACCTCTGTGTAGGGGCTGTCTGGAGGAAGGAGGGATGTCAGCCTACTCCTACAGTATTTTCTGGCCAGTCCCTGCACCCCACTTTAGAAGCTCCCTGATAGGCGAGGGGAAGCCATCTGTGGTGACCGGGAAGGAGTCTATGCCTCGGTGGCTCGTGCTGAGGTGAAGACCACACTTTTCCGGTTTCCCAGTCTCTTCTTCCTGAAAGGGAGAATGGTTCGTGGAAATGGCTAATGTCCTAGGCGAAACAGATTCGAGGTGGAGTAGGCGAATGTTTTTCAATGCCAAAGAAAGGACTGGAGGAATGGAGAATAGGAACTCACCGAATCTTTCTAGCAATGAAATAAACAGCCAGCAGAAGGCAGAGACAGCCAACCAGGATTCCCACTCCCAGACTCAGCATTTCACCTGGGAGAGAGAAAGATGGAAGGTGTCAGCCTAAGACTAACATAGATATTGAGCTTTTCCCTAACTCACTGAGGAGAACCCTACCCTGCACTCCACCCCTCGATACATGGGTAGGCCTGTCTTACCTGTGGTATACAAGGATCCCACTGTAAGGGAAGAAAACTTGCGTCAGTGAGACTAGATCCCCACCCCAGTTGGGAGTAGCACACTGTGCCAGTACTCGGGGTTGGGGCGTGGTTCCCAGTCCAAGCAAGTCCTGGAAATCCCTTCCCCTGTTAGCCTTCTTTTCCTTCCCAGGGGTTCCCTAGTTCCTGCCATTGAGTCCCCCAGTTTCCCGTCTCCTTTTCCGAGCCCTGTACAGTTACCTTGGATGAACGAAGCAAAGACCGTTCGCTGATTGAGAGGCTGGGGGGATCGGTAGTTCTGTACCAGGAGCTTAGAGGGCTCCTCTTCCGTGGAGAACAGTGTCTCTTGAAGCTTTTCCAGCTGAGAAGTAGAAGAGTGGGATTAAGGGACAAGTGGCACTCGCTCTCGGGAGTGGGAAAGGGTTTGAGGTTACAACTATGCCTGCTGTCTCACCTCTCCACCACTCACCTGTCCTATTGAAATATGGGCCCTTCGACTGAAGACTGTCCAGAGCACACTCTGGTAGCAGGGCGGTGTGGTGAGCGAGCCATTGTAACGGAAGTACTGCGCCAGCAGTGGGGGGAACAACTCTCTCAGGTTGAAGGGAGGCACTGAGGTCTTCTGATCTGGGCAAGAACAGACTAGGACTCATCTCCCTCTCACTGCACCCTTGCTTACCTAGACAGGGTTCCTAGAAGCGAACACCCTACCTACCTCCGGCCCCAACTCACTGCCTCATTCCAGGCCTCTCAGGCCTTTTTGAGAAATTTCCCTGAAGCCTAATTGATGTTACTTTGTCTTAAGATAGATTTTTAGGGCTCACCTTTATGCCTGATTTCATGCAAGTGACTCATAATGTGTTCATAAGCTGGATTCTTAGTCTCACCCACCTGTATGGGGAGGAAAGGGTGAGAGAGTTCGGGATGAGTCCACGTTTGGAGTAAGACATTTGTGTATAGGATAAATAGTCAGAATGGGTTGCTGACTTGTCTTGGGAGGGCGACCAGCAACAGACATGGGCAAAATAGGACTGAGGGATACAGAGGAAGTGGAGAGAGACCAAGGAGGGATTGGGGGCCACTGACCTCAATGAGGATGCCCAAGACAGCCAGGCCCTGAGGCCTCTGAGCAGCCTCACTTAAGCTTTCGTAGGAATCAGAATCATAATGTACGATGTGGAGCTGAGGGAGGGGAGAGGGAATTGAATCATTTAATGTTTCTCCACCACCCCCTCCCAAAAGCTTTTATCCTAGCCACCACCACCACCTCTAGCACGCCCTAAATCTGTCCCACAAAGCTTGCCCTTTTCCCCCAAGTATGACTTTTCCCAGTTTCCAGATCCTCCCTTTCCCCTGGCACCGACAGTGCCTACCACTGTGTCCTAATCGAGGCTTTGCTCCCTGGTACCTCTGCAGCTGTGGCTTCACCATTGATCTGGTGCTCTGACCCCCCCGGGGATCCTTTCTGACCCCAGTGCAGGTGGAGCTGGGCAGCTACGTATTTTCGGGGAAGTCCTTCCAGATACAGGGTAGGGGGCAGAGAGAGTTGCACTGTGAGGGAAAGAGAGCGAGTTAGGGTTGGTGGACGAATGTGGATATGTTCCCACCCCTGGGTTGCCACCACTTTGGGGAGATTTGGCCAGCCTTTTCTGTCTCCCTGCACATCACCCACTTCTTCCCATAGGCCACTGCTTTTCTTTTTTCTTTTTGGCCGCGCCCTGCGTGTGGCATGTGGGATCTTAGTTCCCCGACCAGGGATCAAACCCGTGCCCCCTTGCAGTGGGAGCTTGGAGCTTGAACCACTGGACCACTGGCTGGAAGTCCTAGCCACTGCTTTTCTAGTAAAGATCTAGTCAATGCTATGATGCTAACCCACCCATAAAGCTTGATCATACACATTCAGTTCCCATCAGGAGCCTGATCCCCATTCTCATGTCTCCAAATTTATAGATGAAGCCTTCTGAGAATTTAGAAGTTAGGAGAATGCTTCTTCACTTCTGACTCCTAAGATTGGAACTGGAGCTTATATCTCCTTGGAGACCTGGTCTTTTTACCTGTGTGGCCATTATTGTGCAGGTCCAAAGGCTCGGTGCCAGGCTGTTCATATCCATGGGGCTGCAGAGGTAGCAACTCAGGGTCAAAAGTCACACTGCCTGTCTGAATGTTGATGGGGGACTGGGCGTTGCTTCCACACTCAGGGTAAGAGTCTGGCCAGTGGTCTTGACCATGTGGACCTGGTGAGGGTTACCACAGACATCTGTCCTGTCCTCCAGCCCCTAACCACCCTTCAGCAACCCTTCACCCAGCTTTACCCGTGTGGAGGCAGAAATGCACTTCTCTCCACCCCAGATGAAGCCCCTAGGTGTGCGGGGCTGGGTGAGCAAGGAGCCCCTGCTGGACTTGCTGCTGCAGTCCCTTCACCTACGCAGAGGCAGTGATGGTTCCCCAGCTCTCCTGATGAACGGGGAGCAGTTGCTTTTACTTACTTGTCCTCTTGTTGGAAGACAAGAAAGCTAAATGAGAGGAAGAGGGGATGGATAGAAAGCCCGCATACCCAGAAAGGTGGGATTTGAGTAGGAGCAGGAAAACTGGGGAAATGAAATGGTCCTAGAGAGGTAGGGTCTTCTTGGGAACTCCCTATCAGGTGGCCTTAAGATTCAGATCTGCTGACCTTCCATCATTCACTTCTTGCTTTCACACTGGACCTTGCATTGACTCTGGAATTCGGTTTAAGTTATTAATCAGAAACGCAAAGGAATCGGGTTCCACCTCTGCCAGGGTCACAAACTGTCCTGCCGACCTCTTCCTCACCCCTGACCTCAAGCTCTGTCCCAATTCCAGATTCAGGTGGGGGTAGGATCCATCAGGATAGAAAGAGAGCCAGGAGGAGAATTGGCAGCTAAGCTTATGGCGCCTTTCCCCACCCAGTTCCCTTTCCACTCCAGCTCCCTCACTCCCGCACAGATTGACTGAGGACATAACTGGCTTTTCTGCTGAATCAGGGTGTGTGGGATTTGATTGTTAGAACAGCGTCTAGGAATCATATATGTGAAAGCTGGGGCATGGGGAGTCGGGGAAGGAAGGAGCTAGGGTAAGAAGCTGGAGGAAACCTCCCAACCCACGTGGCTAAGTCTTCCTGCCAGGTGAAGAGGTCCCAGTGGGAAAGGGGCGTCGGTAGGCCTTGGGTTTTGCTCTCACCGTCATATGTCCAGTGTTGACCTGCAAGGCAGAATAATTTGAGTTACAGCCAGTGCAGCCTGGGGCAGGGCCCTCCTCCACCCCGCCCCCCTTTCTCCTCCCTCTGCTCTAGCACTTCCCAAAGGAAGCCCTGAAACTGGACACCTCGGTGGAAAGGTCGAGGGGGGGGCCCTATTTAAAATCACCAGCCAGGCTGTGCTTGTGCTCGCTGAGTAAAGGGGGAGGAGAAATGAAAAGAGATAAAGCCAGGAGACTAAAATTAACCTGAATCCAAATGTGCAAAATACCCAACCCTCACTTTTCTACAGCCTCTGCCAAGCCAATCTAACCCTTAGAAGATGGGGCTGAGGTGACGGTGTAGGGTTTGGAGGAAAGGGACTGGAACAAAGAGAGGGGCAAGGAGTTCACTGTGGGCGGGCAGTGCTGCTGAGGGGAGAGGGCCATTATTCCTTTGCTTGGAAGCATTGCACGAAAGAAGGCACTGAGCTGTGAATTAACATTTAAGTTCCTCCTCTGGTCCCAGGAACTCTAAAGGAAACTTTCCCCATCACCAGGAACCTCTGCTCCCTAGATTCCCAGATGGCTGGGGAAGGTGGGAATCGGGCAGGGTCCGCTCCACGTTGAGGGTAGTGGGTGGGCATAGGCCGCCAGGCTGGCAGGGACAGGATGAAAGTGAAGCGTTGTGTGTGGAAAAGGGCACTGCCAGCTGGGTCACATGCCAGGCTCTCGTGCAGTCCTGTCTCCAGCTAAAAGGTCGGGGGTCTGCTGGTCCAGCTCTCACCCAGGGCCAAACTGCTTCAAGGGGAAAGGGAGGCCTTCCTGCGGGTTGTCTCTGCATTATTCAAACTGCTAGAAACTTTGGAGAAAAATTCTAACTTCCTCCCTGTCTCTCTCTCTCTCTCTTATTCCCTTAAAGAAACCCCTCAGACTTCTAAGATATCCTTTATCTCATCATTGGGCTCTTCTCCTGGCCCATCCCTTCGTTCAGACAATTCTGAAAAGCAGCGCAAGGGAGGGCTAGAGGCAGCCTCTCACTCACCAGCTCAGTGGGACACTTCAACAACTCGAATTCCCTGGTTCTGGGTAGGCTGAGAGCCTTGCCCTTCCCCTCCCACCAAATCCTCAGCACAGTAGTTTTACATCTCTTCCTCCTTTTCCCCAATTTGTTCCTTTCTCCTCAGGTGCAATTTACAGCTCTCCTCGGCTGGGTGCCCCTCACCATCATCTTCTTTGTGTTCCCCTTCTGCCCTCTAGATACCCCCCTCATCCTGTTCTTCCAACAAATTTTAATTACACACCTGCTATGTGCTAGGCACAGGGATCACAAAAATGAGGGCTAGGGGTTCTGGGGACATTCCTGGAGCACCTCGGCCTGTTCCCCCCCAAGAGTCCTTCCTCCTCTCCTGGGAGTTCCTGAAAGTCCTGTGTAAATTGTAAAGGGCCCAAGAGTGTTGACTGTTATTGCTACAGCTTTCAGGAAAAACCGGGAAATTAGTCGCCCCATAGAACCGAGAGGGGACTTTGGCCATGAGGTTCATAGTCAGGGATCAGGGTGTGAGTTTGGCAGGAGGCAAGAGTATTCCCCCCACCCCATCAGTCCTCTATCCTTTCACTCCAGGCCTCTTTGGCTCCCTAATTGGATGAGTTTGTAAATAAAGAAGACCAGGAGGGTTGCCTGGGACCAGGGCAGTGGGGGAAGGAGCTCCGGAGAGAATTTGCAGCCTGCAAAGTGACTCCTGCAGTGTGTGTACACATCCTGACCCAGGCTAGTTTGCGCACACATCCTGACCCAGGCTAGTTTGCCCCCATCCCCACTAACAGCAAGGCTGGAATGGCAAAGAAAAAGAAGGAAAGTGGCCTCCTCCCCAGTCCGTCTTTCCCCCTGCATCCCTGAGCCTATTATTCTAGCCCTAGGCTTCCTCTTACACTCCTCCTCCTCCATTAAGCATGCATGGCAACATGTGTACATCAGCACACACAGACACACACACAGACATCCAGATGTACCTACCCCCGTTGGCAGCCAGGGTCCAAATCACCTCTAGCAGGAGCGTGAAGAACAACATGGTATCCCTGGAAGAAACACAAGGTACTGGGAGTTTGGGGACTAGAGGACTAGGGCAGGGAGACGGGGGAAGAGAGGAGGGGAGAGAGAGAGGCGGAGGGGTGGGGGAGAGAGAAGAGAAGTTTCCTGGAGTTGAGTGTATTTATCTTTTTCTCTTGCTTTCTTTGTGCCTCTGCGGGCTTCCAGGGGATTTGGCTTTCAGTGGGGTACCGTGAGTTTCTGGGTCCCCAGGATAAATCTCTCTCTGCCTCTCTTTCTGCCCTCTCTTTTTTATCTCCCTCTGCAGTCTTCACCCCACTTGCTGGCCAGCTACTTCACAATTGCCTCCCGCTTTTAAGGTGGCTCTGGACGGGTGTACGTGGGGAGTGGGGACTGTCTGGGTTGTTGGCGAACAGCTCCTTAAATAGCCGATTAAGCATGCAGGATGGCCTTGCTCAGAGCGCAGCGCAGCAGGTTTCACAGGGGCCCTGGCCCTGGCTCAGGAGCGCAGCTGGGGTGAGCTCTTCCTTCCTCTGCTATTCACACAGACACTGTTGAGAAGGGTGTCCCCTGGAATGGGCGGGGGCAGGAACGGAGGGTTTGGGGGTCCGATCCTTTGGGGCCCCATCCAGCTCCCTCAGGGTTTCTTATTCCCCATCTGGCTTCTCCTCTGAGGAGCAACTCCCTGGATGGTGTAGGGCAGATGGTGGGAGGACCCGTTCCCCACGCCCTGCAGAATGTGAGCGCCCTGGATTAGGAAGAGTGCAGAGTTAGGAGAGAGGTAAACGAGAAGGAGCTGGGAGACTCAGGGTGCGGGTGGAGGGGAGGAAGTCAAGGACCAGAACGTGGGGTGTGGAAAATAAGGAAGAGAAGTGAGGCAAAGAGAATTTGTTTGGAGCGATCTCCTTCTCCTGCGCCTGTCACCACCGGCTTCCCACGGTGAGGCTGGGTCCACGTGCCTGTGTGGCCTGGGAGGGGGGTGGTTTTGTTTGCTGAATAAAGACCATTTGTGTGCCCAGCGGGGGGCGGGGCTGCAGCAACACCCTGGAGAGACAGCGGCTCCAACTGTGAGGCCCAGCCATCTCCCTCCCCAGGGAGCCCAGATCTAGGGCGGCTTTTGTCACCAAAGAGGACACTGACCCCTGGCACGGTGGCCAGGGCAGGAGGAGAGACGGGGTGACCTTAGAAACAATCACTACCACCATCAGAAAAAAGGCGGACTCCAGGGAAAGAGAGGGAGGGAGCAGAGAGAGACCATGTGATCCCGTTGGAGTGGAAGAGGGGCCCAGGGTCTTCCCTCCTGCCCGACAAAGGGCTGAGGCAGGACTTTTGGGACTGAGTGAAACCTGCCACCAGAGAACTGGGCAAGTGGAGCATAGAGGCTGCCGAGTCTCAGGAATGTGGGCTGGTGTTTGTTCCCCCACGGGACTGGAAATCCCGATTGGAATGTACATCCTAAATCCCTCACTACAGAATGTGAAACCCAAAGATAACTTCAGGCCAGACTTTGAAATCTCTTTTTCCTGATACCCTTCACCGGAGTCACAGCCAGAAAGATGCACCCGTTTGAGCTCCTTCTGCCCTCCTTGCTTCGGCCAAGTAGCAATAAATAGCCAAAACAAAGGGAGCGGAAGCTAAATAAGGGTGCAGGATAAAAGCCAAGTGAACAGAATAATGCATCTGCTAGATCATCAGCCCCTGCAGAGGCAGGAGCCTACCATGCTTTTCTGTCCACTGTGATTGATCTGGAAAGCAAAGCCATTTTGCAGATGTCATTTCCTTTTTAATTCTTTCATCACCCTCTGAATTACTTTTCCCTTACAGATAAGTTTTATGTTTCAAAGTTCCCCCAAAGCCCCACTCATCCCATCTAAGAAGAAGAAAAGGCTTAAAGTGTAAATTAGACTTCCTGGGAATCAGGACAGTTAACACAGAGGAACAGAAAAAAGAAAGAAAGCAGAGACATCTTTTGCAAGGTAGGAAAGAAGAGGCCCGGACAGAATGACCTCTGCCAGGACAGAGTTCCCCTGGAGTGTCTGGGGCTGTGATGCAGCCTCCCAAGGTAGGTAATGTGTCTTACCAGGCGCCACCTCCTGGTTGTCTATGAATTTTTTAATTTTTAAAGTTTCAATTCAAAATGTTTTGTGTGTGATTCCTTCTGGGAAGTGTTTCACTACTGGTGGGCTTTGGGATTTTGCCTACACAACTGAATAATGTTTCACAAAGATGTCTTAGCCCCAAATCAGCACCTTCCCACTTCTGAGTGAGCAGTCCCTCCAGGCCCTCATGCTTCCCAAAAGGACAAAGGCCCTGGTATCTAGGAGAGAGGGGGAAAGGAGGCAAACTCCAGGCACTTGCCTTTATTTATTTATTTTTTAAAAATTTTTATCGGAGTTGCCTTTATTTTTACCTTTGGCTTTACTGTGGATATTCCTGTTGTCACCAGGCTGATTTGGAGTAGTGTCAGGAGGACCCCTACATGTTAAAAAAAAAAAGCCCCCCACAGTTGCTACTCAAACTCTGACGCCTTTGTTTTAATTCCTACTTCTCCCTCTAGCCCTTTGCTCACTCTGGGGTTGGCTGAAACCCTGCTAAAACCAAGTTCTGCTGCCTTCTGGCGCCATCTCCTGTCCTTCCAAATGCAGTGAACTATGAACCAGTCAGAGAGTCAAAGGTATCCAAGAGTGGTGACTTTTGGGTTTGTTTTTTCTCGCCTTGTTTTATTTATTTATTTACTCGGCTGTGCCAGGTCTTAGTCGCGGCACGTGGGATCTTTGTTGTGGCATGCATGTGAGATCTAGTTCCCTGACCAGGGATCGAGCCTGGCCCCCCTGCATTGGGAGCGTGTAGTTTTAAGCACTGGACCACCAGGTAAGTCCCAAGGGTTTGTTTTTTCCTTAAGAGGTCCTTTTTTTTCTTTTTAATAAATTTATTTATTTATTTATTTTTGGCTGCGTTGGGTCTTCCTCTAGCTGCGGCGAGCGTGAGCTACTCTTCGTTGCAGTGCATGGGCTTCTCATTGCGGTGGCTTGTTGCAGAGCACGGGCTCTAGGCGCGTGGGCTTTAGTAGTTGTGGCACGCAGGCTCAGTTGTTGTGTCTTGAGGGCTTCAGTAGTTGTGGCTCACGGGCTCTAGAGCGCAGGCTCAGTAATTGTGGTGCACGGGCTTAGTTGCCCCGCGGTATGTGGGATCTTCCCGGACCAGGGCTCGAACCCACGTTCCCTGCATTGGCAGGCTGATTCTTAACCACTGCTCCACCAGGGAAGTCCCTTAAAGGGTCCTGTCTTAAAAGGATATTTAAACTTACTAAATACGGTAAATAGTCTAAAACACCTTGCAGTAACCCACTAAGTGCTCTGAGTTTGTGTGGTGGGGAATATGAGAGTTTAGCGAGGGAGGGAGGCAGATCAAAAGGAAAGAGGAATGGTCAACACAGGAATTTGCTCAAACAGTACAGGTGGTGACTAATTGCCTAGAAGAGAGAATCGATGAGGAGACAGAATTAGATGGATTCAGTTTCCTAAAAGGGCAAGCAACTTTGCGCCGTGAGTAACATAGTAACATAGAGTAACATAGTAACATAGAGATACTCTGTTTTGATAATCACATTTATTATCACACGCTTGTCTGCTAACACACTGGTACTGAAGGCCCTTAAGCAAACACAAAAGCTTTCAAGAATTAAAGTCAAAGTAATTTGGGGGAGGGGCTGGTCAGAACTCTGGATCATTTTCTCGGTTTTCCAGTTCACATCGCATGACAGATGCAGTATGAGAATCTTGTAGACAGAAGACAGGTCAAAGTTTGTGGTCTGAAATGTTGCAACTTTAATTAAAAAGGAGTAACTTTGTGTCATGCATTGATTCCATGCTCAGAACACTGCCTGGTACATAAATATTTGCTGATTGAATGAATGAGTCTAGTCACTGGAATATTTATTTACTTTCTTTCTGCCTTTTCCCAGAATTTTAGGCCAGGAGGGTCCTCAGGCATCATTTCAACTCTCTTGTTATACCCTATAAAGACTGAGTTTTGAGGGATTTATGGATTCTCCCATGGCTAGTCATAGAGCTGCTAAGCTAAACCGGAAAAAGGACATAGGTGCCATTGAACTTTCTCTTTTTGGTTTTCAAACGTCATTGTACATCAGAATCACCTGGAAAGCCTAGTTAAAATTCGGATTTCTGGGCCTCTGACCCAAGGTTTCTGATTCTGTAGGTTTGGGGTATGTCCAGAGATTTGCATTTTTTGATAGGTAAAAAGTAGATTTATTAATAACGCTTTGTAAAGAGGTTGGAGGAAAATGGGGCACAAGAGGATGGTCATGTCCCAGGTCTTGGGCAAGTTCCTGGGACAGGCTGCCAAGTGAGGGTCCTTGGCTTCACTCAGGAAAGAATTCAAGAGGGATTCTTGAATCCCTAAAAGTGAAAGCAGAGAGGCACATTCCATAGGCAGAATGTGGTCCTTCTCAGAAGGTGAGAACGGCCCAGAGACTTGCATTTCTAATAGGTCCCCTGGTGACCTGTTAGATGGTACTGGTCTGAGGGCCCACACTTGAGAATCAGTGCTCTACACCTATTGGAGGAGCAGAGGTGGTAAGGAGTTTGCTTTTTTTTTTCTTTTTTTTTGCCGCACGGCCTGGCTTGATCTTAGTTCCCCAGCCAGGGATTGAACCTGGGCCACGGAAGTGAAAGCACCAAGACCTAACCACTGGACTGCCAGGGGATTCCCAGGAATTTGCCATTCTTTGTAGAGATTCCAGCCATCTGGAATTGTTCTTGCAGTCCCTTTTGCAAAGGTTAGCAACAATACTTTCACTAGTTTACAAACATATATTGAGTACTTCTAGGTGCTAGGCAACATGGCAGGCCCTAGAAATAAAAAATTAATGACATAATCCCAGCCCTCAAGAACTTCACAATCTCTTTAGGGGATGCAGATACCTTACCCAATTACTAGAATACAACAGTGAGAAGTTCTAAATAGTGGTAGAACAAAGTGTTATGTGAACCAAGGGGGTGGACAATTGGCAGTGAGATTTTCTTTAGCTGATGTCGACAATGTTTCCACAGGATGGGTGCGTAACCAGGGCCTATAGTTATATATGAGAACATAAAAAGTGCACTCCACAGCAGGCAGACCCATGCTTCACTGTCTCTGAGATGACGCCAAAGGATACGTTATGTCAAAGCAGGATTCTCCTTAATATATTTAATAAACTGCTTCCTCTGCAAGGAAGGATATCATGGTGCCCCGGAATTATAATAATTTGTTCCATCTGCTCTGGTGGCCTCCTCATTCTGCCTGACTTCTCCCTTTTCTTTTTATTCTTTACCATTCATCTAACTCAAATGAAGGTTGTGTTCCAACCCAAGCAAAAGACAGTAACACTTATGCCACTTCCCTTCAATAGTGAGAAGATTCTAGTTAAAGATATCTTTTTCTTTGTTTTTTAAAGAATTGTTATGTCTGAATTGCTATAGGAATAGGAATCAGATGATAATATAGCAAAATCTTGTGACGATGGTAGCTTATTACTGGTTTAATCATCCCCCAAATAAGAAGTCTGTTCTCAGATCAGATTGTGACAAATGATTTGGGTTTTCTTTGAAACCTTAAAGGAAAAGAGCTTGCTGTGCTTTCATCGACATTTTATTTGCTTCAAAATATCTATATATTTTTTTTAAAAAGAGCATGAGGGTTTCCCTGGTGGCGCGGTGGTTGAGAGTCCACCTGCCGATGCGGGGGACACGGGTTCGTGCCCCGGTCTGGGAGGATCCCACGTGCCGCGGAGCGGCTGGGCCCGTGAGCCATGGCCGCTGAGCCTGCGCGTCCGGAGCCTGTGCTCCGCAACGGGAGAGGCCACAACAGCGAGAGCCCCGCGTACCGCAAAAAAAAAAAAAAAAAAAAAAAAAGAGCTTGAGTCTTGAAGGGTAAAGTGGCTTGGGT